CTATTATTAACTAACATGTAATTAGTTCATTAAAAAATACCTCAACTGAATAGCATGTAACTTAATACAATCTACCAAAGTGGAGAAATCTATAGTTTCTTACAAATGGGAACAAAATTACAGAGCAGAGAAACTGGAAACGAGAAGATGCCAGCTGGCAGGACACTAAGTGTTTCAGATTACTGTGTGTTTATGACCTCTGTGTTCTAGAAAAAAATTAATTAGATTATGCTTTTTGAGAGTCTTGGAATGCCATGGCCCTGTGCCAGGCTTATCAGAACCACACATCTGAAGTTTAATTAAGCTGTTTTAAATTTTGCCCATATTTCTGAGCTTTGAAAAAGCAATAAATGCAGGAACTAATAAATAATGGTGGAAGAAGGCTGAGATTCCCTCAGATGGCAACATTCTGTGTAAAATTATGGGCTGTTCCAAAGTCTATGTTACACTAGCTTTATATGAAACGATACTCTTTGTTCAAGAGTATTTGGAAAATAAATGCAGGCAATGAGGGAACTATAACTGTGGAAACTTATAGAGCTGGTTTTGAAAATTCAAATCATTATTTAATGGAGGGTTTGTATCTCAGGTTGAAGTCAAAATGGGGAAAGGCAGGTGGGCTACAGCAAAGGGAAAGGGGAGCAAGGGGAGCTTTGAGGCAAGCATCTTATTGATGACTTTCTAGCAGGTGGAAATGTGAGTAGGCGCAATGTACTTTTTATTTTTTAATTTTTTTAATGATTAATTTATTTATATAAGAGCTGGGTATGTATAGGCAGAGGTGTGGGAGGGTGAGAGGATTTACCAGAGTGGATTTAACAGAGAGGATTTAACAGTGGGGAGCAGAACAGTCAGACTGACCAAAAACACTGCTGAGGGGAGCAGCGGGTGGGAGGCAGGAGAGGTCTGCCGTACCATGTGGGTATCTCCCTGGCTGGCCGGGAATCAAACCTGCGCTGTAGAGACTACGGACAGCTTTGCAGCACTGTGCTCAACCTGTTGCACCACTGGGAGGCCCGCAATGTACTTTTTAAAAAGTATTTCTATTATTTACATTTTTACTGTGGTAAAATATACATAACATACATTTACCACTTTACCCATTTTTAAGTGCATGCTCCAGTGGCATTAAGTACCACATCGTTATGCAGCCAACATCACTATCATCTCTAGTGCTTGGCTTAAAGTTCTTTCGTTAACTGCCTTCTAAAAATTAAAAAAATATATCTTTTTTGGGAGGGGGCTCCTGGGTGGCCTAGGAGTTCAGTCTCAGTGTTATCACAGCTATGGCCTGAGTTTGATCCCAGGCCAGGGAGCTGACCCTCACATGGCATAGCAGACCTCCCCTGTTTTGCATGCTTTTCCCCTTAGCAGTGTATTTCAGTACATCTGCCTGTTCTGCTCCCCACGCTGTCTCTAGTAAATCCTCCCCCACCTTCCTGCACCACACCTCTGGCCCATACCCCAGTTTTCCTATGCAAAAATAAACAAATTTTTAAAAAAAAATTCAAAAGTCTTTGACATTTCCTTGGGACTATTTAGTTACTTTAGGCAAGGACTGAAACATGCACAGAATGATATCTGTGTACATGTGGGAGCCAGTATGGTCCTGCCTCACGGCCTTGTAACAGAAGTACCTAAAGGGTTAATTGTGCTATCAGACAAATTAGTTGTGGCTGAATAAAACAACTGTCTGGCCAGAAAAGACTTATGGAAGAGGAAGACTGACTTTTTTTGCAGCAAAAAGACAAATGCAAGAGGATAGAGACTATTGAGTCACATCTTTGATTACATAATTTCATTCATCTGTTCACTCTTTCATTCAACAAACAGTGAGCACCACTTCTGCTAGATATTGTTCCAGGCAGTAAGGGATTTGTGGTGACCAAAACAGACTAAGCCCTAACACCTGTAGGTCCAATATTGCAGTAGGACAGATGGTCTCAACAAAGAGTATTTCCATATAATTCTCATGGTCAATGAAATAATTGTGCCTAGTGACACACAGATTACTACAGGATGGATAGTGGTGAATGCCAAGATGCAAAGAAGAAAAATAGGGATATGAGAAAAAAAGCAAGTCTGATTCATTTTACCTACTTATTTCTACTTACAATGTCCCAGAGACAAAAGAAAGAGACTTACTTCAAATGGAAACTTCATTACAGGACAAACCATTGGCTCTCTTCCCTACTGTACTTCCTGGAGCTTGGGGTGATGGATGAGGGTGCTGTGAAGATGAAGCTGGTTACAATGTGAAGAACTTCTTTCTGTTTCTCAGCATCTTGGTTTCTTCTCTTCTTCTTCCTTCATTTCTTTGACCAGACACATGATGAGGGATATGTATCCATCCATTTCTCCAACAAGAAGGAATCAGAAATGGTGCATGCTCACTACTGCATAGTAGGGGGGTGTAAGCACATTTTCTACAGCCCAAAATTCACTAGCATGTAGGCAGGAAGTTGTCGAAGGAGGAGGCCAATGCAACGTAAACAGTGTAGAACCACAGAGGGGATACGTGCTTGGAGACTTCAGTAGGGGCCAAGGGAAGGATAGTAGCGTAGAAGTCCCAGGAAGGGACCTCCCCGGTGGCGCAGCGGTTGAGCGCTGGGTTGCGAAGCTGCCTGCAGCCTCTGTAGCACCAGTTCGATCCCCAGCCACCAGGTGAGGGTCCCACATGGCGCACAGACCTCTCCTGCCGCCCACTGCTCCCCTCAGCAGTGTATTTCGTCGTCTGTTTTGCTCCCTGCTCTGGCTCTGGTGAATTCTCTCACCCTCCTGTGCTTCTGACTGTACCCTGTGCTTGCATAAATAAATAAATAAATCTTTAAAAAAAAAAAAAAAGAAGTCTCAGGAAGGTGATGCTAGAGATGGAACTTGTTGGTTGAGCAGAGCAGTATCATCAAAGTCATGAGAAAACAGGAGCTTAACAGGGAAAAAGTCACCAATGTGTCCCCCGCTGCAGAAATGCTCAGATATAAGAGACTGGAAAATCTATCGATGTGGAGAAAATACATGGCAGGAAATAAGAATCAGTAAATCCATTGTTTTAGCTAAACAACAACTCACATTCAGCTGCCTTCACCACTAAATTAAGCTCATTCATTCATTCAAGTTATCAACAGATGTTCAAATTTTTCCTGAACTGGGGATACAAACAGTAAACAAAAAAGAAGGTTTCCTGGAGCTTTTCGTTGATGCTGCAAGTGGGAGAGGGAATCAGGGAGGTCTGTGAATAGTGGAGCCACATGGTGGGGTAGCTCTGACTTCTGTGCCGAGAATAGGTAGAACATTTTGTATAACTGTGGTGTAGACTCACCCTGAAAGTCATGCGAATCACACGTACTCTCTCTGGGCACTGATACTTGATTCAGTGAGAACCAAAAATCAAGCTGGCCGTTTATTGCTGCTAGGCTAATGTTACAATTATGTGTCAGGAAGGGTAACAGAACAAGCAGGTGATATATAATGATATAAGTGCACACACACAGTGTGTGTGTGTGTGTGTGTGTGTGTGTGTGTTTGAGAGAGAGAGAGAGAGAGAGAGAGAGAGAGAGAGAGACATTGAGAGAGAGAGCAAAGATTCTTGCAATTATAAGGCTGCTTAAATAAGTCCCTGATCAATAGGACAGCTGTCAGGAAAGGCAGAAAACTGATGTTCTACACCACAGGTAGAATCCCTGCTTCCAGAAGGAAGCTCCAGTTCTGTTCTCAAGCCTTTCAATGAATCTACCCAGACCATCCAGGAATCTCCTTTATATGAAGTCAAATGATTATAGGTGTTGATCACAGAATACATCACAGCAACATGTCAGTGAGTGAATAATTGGTTACTCCAGTCTAGTCTGGTTGACACGTAAGACTGATCATCACAGACAGCTGATTAATTTTTACCCAGGACAAATGGGCTGGTTTTGAGTGGGCTGTGACCACTCATTCCTCCACCCTTTGCTTTTTAACTGGCTCTTTTGAATTATGCAGACAGCCTCAGACTTGGATTTCCTGTCTGATAGGCTCTGATCAGGTTTCAAATGACAAAATATTCATCAGGATGACTGGCTGTGGTGTTGCTTGCGAACTCATTGACTCTGAGAGCCTGGTTTCTGCAGATGGATGTCCCAAGGCCGGGGGTGGGGGTTTGGGAGGTTGGGGGTGGATTTAAGGGCCACCTGGATCTATGTCCAATTTTCTTGCCACTCCAATCTTCAAATCCTTAATATAAGAATAGTAGTACTTCCTGTAGTGCTGTCTATAATTCAATATCCAAAGGCGTCTTCTTAAACAAAATAGTGTCTGTGGACTTGGTGTGGGTCATGGCGGGGAATAACAATAGTACAGTTCATCCTATTGACCCCCATGCACTCAAATGAACACATATTTGCAGAGTGACTATATGTCAAAGCATGTCCTGCACTTACACAGCTGGCTGATATTTCTACCACTAAAACTGGGCTACTACAAACTTTATCTTGGAGAACTCACAACAGGTGGTGGAGTGACTCTGAACCTGGAAAGCTGCTAGTGGCCAAATTATGTGCTTTTGGAGAAGAGCATTTCTTTTGTATCTAAAAAAATAATGATGAAACAAAAGCCCAGCATGATTAATATGGTGAGAATGTTCTAGTCTTATCCAGGAGAAGAAAGGAGACAGGTCAGGTAGGGCTTCGCAAAAACCCTTGGTCATAAACCTCACAGACATCCAGGTTATTAAATACCACACCCATGTGGCACTGGAACCAGGGGCATCTATCCACTGGATTAAAGGAAGCTATTCTGCAGGCCCAGACAGAGAGAGGATGTGGTGAAGGTTCAAACAGTCACGGAGTACAGTCCATAAGACACAAGGTCATGCTCCACAGAAAAGTGAGTCGTTTGTGCTCCTCCTCATCATCCTTTCCAGAAACGCTGGCTGCTGCAGGTCTGTAGGGAGATACCAAGAATGCCGCCATCACAGACCCCAGGCCGGGTCATTTTTGTGGCTTGTGTGAGGGATGCCTCAGGAATAGCCCTGAAATCCCTGCTTTAGGTTACCAGCCAAGCTCGGGTATGATATTTTTTCCTGTTTAACAATAATAAAAAAAAAGCTTACTTGCTTTCATCAGCTATCTAAAAGTTCAAAAGGTAAAGACCATTTCCCTCCACAAATAAGCCAGGGAATGTATTTGGAAATTGAGTTTTCATCCACAGTTGCTGTTTTTGAACCATTTATTCCACGTCTGAGGAAGTTGAAATGGGGAGTTCTCTCCTGAAAGGAAAAAAAAAAAGCAACTTTGAGTTTGTAAGTTGACATCTCCGAGCAGGGCTCTAGGCGTGGAGGGTCATCTTTCAGAGAGCAGTATTAATATCGTCTCTCCAGCTCTCAGACAGTTGGGGCATGCCGTGCTCCCCCACACCGCTTCCCCCCCACCCCCAGGGCTCACGGTTCCCTTTAGAGATAATAAAACCAGTGTAAGCTCACGCTGAGGCCTTCTGATGTAGAACATGATGGTACTTTACAAACCCACCTGTCCTGACTGAAAGACACTCTTCATAAAGTTGTATTTTTAACTTACAATGGTGCAAGCTGAGCGTGTATTTATTGTGTGGGGCTGCCCACCAGGTCCCGCTGGGCCCGGGGCTCCTGCCCATGCAGCTCTACAGAACTGCCCAGGAGATCTGCTGCTCCTCCTGCAGGGTCAGTCTTTTTCTTGTGCTTCTGAGAGAGGAGATGAGTTTATGGAGGAAATGACCTTGGAATTGGGCCTTGAAAGGCACAGTGTTTGAACAGAAGGACACACCTATGCATCTGCTGCTTACCTCCTTTCCAACGCTCAGGAATTATTTTTCATTTGCTGAAGAAGAATGACTTGAATCCCCACATGCTCTCCTGTGGAGAATCTACCCCCAGCAGATCCCTCAGCGTCTTTGGGGTTTATCTTTCTGTGGTCACTTCCTTATAACTTCTTGAGTCTATGGGATTCTCAATCTTTCCTTTGTGTTACATATTTTCAAGCTGGTTTTTCTCTCTCTCTCCTTAGTCTACCAAAATGTCATGATGTATGATGGTTGCCGTCCACTGTATGATGATGGCCCACCACTGGCAGCTTCTCGCCCCTTCCCTGGCCCCCTCACATACACGGTATCTTCCCCACCATCTTATCTGCAGTGCCACTTGTTATTTACCTGGGGCCACAGCTAGAGTAAGGCAAGGCTGCTATGTAAAGGACACTCTGATTGAATGACTGAAAGATCTGAAAGCTTTCTGTCTGACAGAGCTGCCTGCAGTAACGTTTCCAGGCCGGCCTCTGGCTCTGTTCCACTGATCATTCAGGAAACCACAGTTAGCGAGCTGTTTTAGCTGTTGCTTCTCCTCCTCCAGGCTTTGTGTTGTTGACGTGGCTAAAGCGTCTTCCTCTCAGTACTTACAGCCAGTGAGAAAGAGGAGCAGCGGGGGAGAGACTTCTACCTGTGGGGCCCACCAGGGTGGCCCACACCAGGGGTAGAATCCACTGAGAGGCTAAATTAACTGTGGGGGCTGGGAAGTGATCCCCTTTATTATGGAAGAAAGTGATTATGAATGAGGGAAGAATACTAGCAGGCTCAGTCACATCTTCCAGAGACTTCTTCTTGTACTGATATCTCTTTTTTCCTCCACTTCCCAGTAGCCAACTTTTAGACCCCTGTCATGTTTTAAGTGACATGTTTTAAGTGAAAACCAATTTCTTCCTTTTTTAATATTTCAAAATAACTTTGTCTTAGTTGTGCTGCTTTTAATTGAGATCATGTAGGTTTACAATGCTGTATGTGATTCAGGGGTACAGGTTCATATCTCTTCAGATGTATGTTACCACACCACACCCACTGTGTGGGCAGACTGAGGGCCAGCCTGGGACCCAAAACATGCACACTCTAAGTGGGTTCTGCTTGTGCGATGTGCCATTTACATCCCTGCCATGCCATGACTCCAGAGGGAAAAAAACACCCTCATAAAATTCCCTGATGAGGATTCCTAGTGTCCCTTTCTTAAGTCACTGCTCCCACCCCCCACCAAACCTGCAAAAGGGAATCCATATAGTGGTGAACAGCACCCCCTGTGGGTCACCTGGAGAAAGCAACGTGTGTGTCTGGGGTGGGGAGGGGCGGGGGAGGGTCCTAAAAGGGGATCAGCACAGAGACATCTACTATGATAGGAGATGGTGGCACCCGGGTCCTGAAAGATTGTACAAAGCGTCACTCCTGATGAAAAGCGAGCCTCCAGGTTAAAGCAGAACCTCAAATCCTGCTGGTGGGCAGGTCTAGGATACTAGAAGCCAGCAATGAGGATCAGTGCCTGCTGGGAGCTCCATTGTGGCCTTTGTTATCCCCCCACACACATACTGGCACCCTTGTCACCATCTCTAACCCCTTCGTGGTGTGTGCTGTCCTCCCCAATCCGCCCACGGGTGAGGATGATGGGCAGAAGCCACAGTGGTCCCTGAGGGTTGACCTAAATCCTGCTAGGCTCCTAGTGAATCCTTCAATAGTCAGCAGCTGATGGCTGGAAGAGCATAACACTTGCATAGAGGTGGAAGCACTCAAACCACCTTTAAAAGATCACCCTTCACACACCTCGAGGTTATAGGTTTGGTCCTTATTAAAAATATATACACATATACTTACACCCTGATTATATGACACCTAACTAAGCACAGTGTTGAAAAATGGGTGCATGAAAGTACTTAGAAAAATGTAAACATGTTTGTTGCGCTCACCGGAAGTCAGTCTCACTGAAGTGGGGTCCTGTGTGCCTTGCTCACTGCTGAGTCTCCAGTGCCGGAGATGTCTCTGACAGACAGTGGGAAGTTCGTAAATACTGCCTGACTGGATAAATCAGTGTCCTCACTGCCCTCAAAGGGTCCAGGGGAAGAGGAAGATGTGTAATCACAGCTGAGTGTCGCGGCCCAGTTCAGTGACACCGGAAGTCATAAAACTATAACAGCAAACAGGGTGGGAGTGAGGGAGGAGAGGGAGAGGCATCCACAAGATGATGCAGCAAAGGACTTTAAAGAGCGGACAGAGCATGGCCTCCTCGGAGCACAGCCCTCCTCCCCTCCCCTTCTCTTCTCAGCTCTTCATTCATGCCTCCTCCTTTGAGGAAGGGAGCAAGCACTCTGGGCCTGCTCTTTCCAGGGTGTGGCCCTTTGTAGCTGTGCCAGTGGTGTGACTTTATAGGATCTCAGCTAGAAGCCCGTGGGACTGGAGCTCTATGGGATCTTGGCAGAACCCATCCTGCTGCAAAGGTCAGAACTGGGGAAAGATGTAGCAATCGCCATTAAGGCAGATGGGCTAAGGCGAAACTGGCACGAGTGGAATTCTTCTTGCAAGCTGTGCCTGCCGGGAAGTGGAGGGGAGCTTCTCCTGTGTGTGGCCAAGCCGATGAGGTTAAAATGTGATTACACCTAAACATGTAAACAGCAAATTCCCAAGTTAATGATGATGTAACATTCTATTAGGGTTAGGCTGGATTATGCTGACTCTGTTGCCTCATCTTCAAATCTGGTCCAAAATGTTGATTCCTTTGATAAATCCCATCCTTTTCCCAAGAATTGCATTGACCCACCAAAGAGAAGACTTTCTAAAGTTTCTAGAGTTTCAATGAGACATTATTACACCACTCTGTGAAAAAAAAAAAAAAAAAAAAGAAAATAACACAGCAATACTGACTGGCTTTAGGGGCCTGGGGAAAATGGCACGTGATTGGAGTGGACAGTCCTTGGTTCCCTTGGAAGGAACACTGACAGATCAGGCCTGGGCCTGGCATGCTCAGCCTCACATCTAAACATGAGAAGAAAAGTGAGAGGCAGTTAAAGGAAAGAGAACACCACATTCTGCTGAAATCACATTCAACTGGGCAGGGCCCGGTTTGGGTGTGTAATCCTTCATCGTTTCTGGTCTTTGTTCAGCTGACATCCATGTCCCCATAGGACAGGTTCCTTTTCCAGGACAACAAATGCTCAATTCATGGGGGAACAGAAGCTCTGCTCCTGTGCAGTTTCTCCAGGAACCTCAAAAGTTTTGATTAGAAATGGAAAACCAAGACATATGATTCTTAGAACTAAGCATATTTTCACCTTCAGTCTGCTGATCCTTATTACCCCCCTCATGGAGAGCATTTCCCCCATCCCCGCTTGGCACCCTGTTCTTAGTGAGTTCTAAGAAGTTTGGATGGAAGAGAAGACAGGTTACCCTCTGCGTTCCAAACCTGGTGTTTCTCTGACAACTTTTAAGTGCAAAAGGAAATGTTTCATCTAAGTAAAGGGCCCAAAATAATAAAACTGATTTTTCTAAAAAAGATTGGCTATAAGAAAGAAAACTACTGCAGGAAATCATAGCCATAAGTAATAGTTAGCATGATATCAACACACAAGAGCTGGGCTTCCAGGGATTAGGCCCAAAGGCATGAAAATTACATCTCAGGGACAATTGCATTAATGAAAAAACTCTGGATTAATGAAAAAAAAAAAACTGCTTTAAGATAAATCTGAATCTACCTTGCTAAGCTATTGCGATTGAAGCAAAGCTGGCTAATGATTCCATGTTAAGAGGTGAGATGTATTCCTGTTTAATAAAATCGTAGAATAGACTCTAAGCACTCAATTTAAATATGGCAAAGATGCAAGAGTGAAAATGTTCGTTGTTGCCCACATGATCACCAAACTCTTCTGGGAAATTCCCATCGTCATAATTTCTCACGTCACCCAGTCCTTGCAGTCAGTGTGCCTCCCACTTTCTCCAATGCTGTTCTCTGTCTGGTCTGCTATGAATGGATTAATGGGGAATAAAAACAAACAAACAAACAAACAAACAAACAAACCAGGAGTCTAAAGAGTGGACCTCTATCACCCTCTCTCCTCTGCTGATTACCTGGTGACCAGCTAATTGGCCTCTTCAACCTCAGTTACTTCAAGGGAATAATAATATTTTGTCTAAAAGGAGGAGGCTAGAAGATGAATGATGCTCTGACTATGTCCTTTCTCTTAAAATAGTGCCGCGAACCAACCAAATTGCTATGCTGTGAACACAGAACTTACACACACACACAAGAATTAAACAAGTGATATATAGGCCCTGTAATTTTGCTTACACCCATTTATTTTCATTTGAGCAACTTGATGTTTTCTCATTTTATGGTGAGGTCTTTAGAGTATCAGATTGTTCCTTGAAACTTCAGTGTGCAGGAAGGGTCATAATTCTGTTTTCTCAGATGAACTTAAAATAAACATGAAAACAAAGTGGGTCAAAAATCAGGTTGGTCACTACAATGTCTTTTCATTTTTTACAGCTCCTTTGGCATTTCCTGCCTTGATTATTATAATAGCTCCCTGAAGGTCTCCTTGATTTTAGGACCACCTTCTTCCAATTCATTTCATATTTGTACTACTTATTTTCCTGTACTACATATTTCTCCCAATCTATATAGGGGGATGTTAATCCAACTCATCAGGACCTCAGCATGAGGTATCTGACCATAGGGGACCTCAGGTGTCTGGCCACACTCCGCCTAACTTCTCACCTACAAGGTAGCCCAAGCAATTACCAATCACCATCCTGTAGGATTAGTTTTACACTATTGCAGAGGCTCAAACAACTATCAGTGACTTAGCAGCTGAAGCAGCACAACTTGTATTTCCGGCAGGCCAGGCTATGTATCGCTGGGCTTTTTGCTCAGTTTCTCACAAAGCTGGAGTCAAGATAGCAGCCTCAACTAGGAGACTTAAGTAAGGAAACAGTTGCTTTCAAGCCCCTTTGGGTTGCTGAGGGAAATAATTTCTTTACAGCTGGAGGGCCCAGGTGTCTATGGGCCCTCTATCTTGATGATGTCCTTTCTATTAAAATAGTGCCATGAATCAACCAAATTGCTATGCTGTGAACACACAACTTACACACACACAAGAAGCTGTGTGGGTAGCTGCTGTGTGGGGGCTGCACACTGTAGTGACAGCCTTGCCATGAGGCCACCTCACACTCACACTTCTACTCTCTCTGATTGCAGAAGGGGTCCGGCCCCTTTTAAAGGCTCACCTGGCTAGACCAGGCCTACCCAGATGATCTCCTTTGATGAACTCAATTAATCAGGGTCCCTGATTACATCTGTAAAATCCTTTTCCCCCTATAACACCATCAGGGGAAACATAGCTGATACTGGTCACAAATTCTACCCACAGTCAGTGGGAGGGACTTAAAGGCAAGAATCACTGGGGTCATCTTCAAATACCATCACACCTTTTTCCTTTGTTCTGGACAAACTGCTCCTTATCAGCCAGGAGTGTGTTTCATTGCACTTCCTGTGTCAGTAATCCTGACATCCTCTGGCTGAGGTGCGGCCCTATGCTCACCGAGGGTCTCTATTTATCCCAGTACTATTTAATGTATCATATCATATTATACTGACCTCTGTACACATCTGTCTAACTTAAGATGCAGAAACTGGGATAGTGTGGGATTCTGTATAGCACAGATCCCATGTGTGCTGATACTCCATTTTCTGTGTGGAAACCCCTATCAAATTTTCAGAACCTGAAAGGGAGGCGTGTCAGGGCGTCCAGAAGGTAATATTTCCCCAGGGAAGGTTTGGAGGCTTAATGTCAAATGGAGCATGCATCTAAACCCTGTTACCTCGCACACCAGCCTTGCACAATCAGACCCTTCCTGCCGATGGCGGAGACACACGGATTCAAATGTCGGATTAGACCTGCTATTCATGTTCATTGTGCAGTCATGTTTGCTCACAAAGGACTAGATCATGAGAAAACACTCTCAGCAAATTGAGTGGAAAGATGCTTAAGAATAGCTATAATTTTTTTTTTAAATTTAAAATTCACAGGTATTTTGCATCTGTTGTCCAAATGAATAAGGCAGGCAGTGGTTATAAAAGGCAGTAAAGAACTAAGTGAAAGCAGTATGGGCTTCTCAAAATGGTCCTTCGTGATAAGTTTCTCTTTGCCCTGCGAAATTTTCTTTCACAAAAGAAGTAGAAAGAATTTGCATGGTTGATGGTTCTCATGTGGTTGATTCTTCCACCTAAGAGCCAGCTGAGGCCTCCTGCAGTCTTTCCAGGACTAGGGAAGCCACTTTTTTTTGTTCCATTTTCACTAGCTGCACACAGTGGGGATGAACACCGCGTAAGAGGATTGAGGGGTACCTAGACACCAACATGCACTCAGATCTGGAGGATGCAATGGCCTGCGCCTATTTGGCAACACAAAATATATTGTGCTCTACCAATTTTCTAAAAAGAAAAGTGGAATTGAATTCTATGCTATAGGCTGAATTTTAGGATTCCTTATTTTGAAAATTATGAGCATGAAATGATCCCAGACCACAGCTCTTAGCTGTTAACGAGAAAAGAACCTGAAACTTACCTCCGTGTAGCTTTCCTGCAGGATAGCACCTCCCAGTGAACTATGTCCAGAACCTTCAGGGTACCAGGCAGAGAAATAAAAAAGAAAAAAATGACCACTTACTTTTAAACTAGTTTCTGGACAATTGGGTTCTGTGCTCTGTGCCAAGGGAATGCTGAAAATAAAGGCACCAGTCAGGAGACTAATTAACAAAGTATTCTGACCAATTCTCTATTAATTAATGGAATTAAAAAAGTGTTCTGGGGAAGATGATTCTCAGAGTTCCTCTCCAAAATGTTTTTAAATATGCAGAGAGGAAAAAAAAAAAAAAGATGAATCAAGCAGAATACCTGTGGGTAAGTTTTCTCAGCTGGGATGAATTACATTAGCTTCTGTTCCCTGATCCCCAATAAAGGTAGGGTTACTTCCAGGCTCTCATCAGCCGAAATGGTTTAAAAATTGATCTGAAAATCAACACTTTGACTTTGCAATCTGGCTTTTTGTGTACCATTTGGTCTTAAACTGTAACATTGTTGGCCTTGAGCATAGCACCTGGCTTTGACAGCTGCAGCCCTTGGTGCACAGAGCAAGCTTTCTCAGAGAACAGCTCTCCCAGAGACTAGGAAGCCAAGACAAAATAGCTTTCGCTGCTAGAGAACATAACAACCACACAGAGAATGGTAACACTTTTCCAGGAAAAGGCCCTGGGGTATAGGATGGTTTCACTTATAGCAGAAATATAGGGGAACCCAATTAAGACATCAGTGTAAAAAATAATAACAACACAAAACACAACAAAGCAAAAACAGAAAATTATAAACCAGAGACATCCTGCAGGGGAGGAGGAGGGAGAGGGATCATAGGGAGGGAGGGAGGAGCATGAGAGAGGGAGGTGATGGTGCACAGGTGCATTGGTGAAGGAAACTCTATGGGGACTACATCTGAGGGGGTAAGGGGAAGCAAACATTATTTAAAAAAGAACAATGATGTAAAAAATTAAATAATAATAATAAAAAGGCAGAAGCATAGTGAGAGTATCCTGGTGAACACTGGGTAAGGGGAGACTCTGATTTAAATTCCCACTCTATCTTTCACCCTCGGTTATCCCAAAAGGATATGACACTCACAATCTGTCCTCTGAGAAAGAAAATACTGTACACATTACGAAAAAGTGCAACTATCCTAAAAATGCTTAAAAAGAAAACAACAGGGCCTCCCTGGTGGTGCAGGGGTTAAGCAACGTACTATGAAGCAATTTGCAGCCTCTGCAGCACAAGTCGATCCCCAGCCAGCCAGGGAGCAACCCACATGGTGCAGCAGACCTCTCCTGACCCGCCCGGTGCTCCCCTCAGCAGTGTATTTCAGTCAGTCTGCCTGTTCTGTTCCCTGCTCTGTCTCTGGTGAATCTTCTCTCCCTCTGCATCTCTGGCCTGTACCCCATCTCTTGTATGCATAAATAAATAAATCTTTATAAAAAAATTAAAAAACAAAGAGAAAGCAACAGCTACACTTAGAAGTCTGGCTGCACACTTGTGTTACCAGAAGGAGAGGGGAAGGGTGGCTGGCAAAGGAAAGGGTGAGGGGCCCCAACGGGCTGTGTTGGAGGACGGTGGGGGTCTTTCAGGTGGGAGTGGTGGGGTGAGACATCTGAAGAGGTGTGAACCTGTCTCTCTAAAATATATTATCTGCATAAAAATTAATATCAAAACCCCCAATTATGTAGTTGTACATCACAGCCTCACATTGACCCTCTAATTTAGAACTTGTTATTTTAGAATAAAAATACATATTCAACAAGGGTTTACCAAGAATCTGTAACATAGGAAACTCATTAAAAATATGTGCTACACATATTAAAAAAACTAGCAACAACAAATGTTGGCGAGGATGTGGAGAAAAAGGAACTCTCCTGCACTGTTGGTGGGAGTGCAAACTGGTCCAACCACTATGGAGAGCTGTGTGGAGATTCCTCGACCTACTAAAGACAGAGCTTCCATATGATCCAGCAATTCCACTCCTAGGTATTTACCCAAAGGACACAGAAACATCAATTCCAAAGAGCACCTGCACCCCTATGTTTATAGCAGCACTGTTTACAATAGCTAAGCTTTGGAAACAACCCAAATGCCCAAAAATAGATGACTGGATCAAGAAGATGTGGTACATATACACCATGGAATATTACTCAGCATTCAAATAAGATAAACACATGCAATTTGCAGCAACATGGATAAGTGAAATAAGCCAGAAAGAAAAAGAAAAATACCGGATGGTCTCACTCATAGCAGGAATCTAGAAAACTTAAATAAGGGACCAGGAAAAAGAATAACTATAAGAAAGAAAATATCAAAATCAACAAATAACTATGAACAAGAGATACTCTATGGGAGGTGGGGGGGTGGGGAGGGGAGGGATTGGGGTCAAAAATAAGGGGGTTGCAATTGTATAGGGAATATAAAAATAAAATTTATTTAAAAAGTATGTGCTACAAATCAGCTTTGTAAGAGAATAAAGAAACAATTTTGCTGATTAGGCAATCATCCTTTCCATTTTAAACTATCATTTTTTAATATAAATAATATGCTGAAAGGTCCTCTCATATCTTTACATTTATCGAAGATGTATGGGACTCTCATTTGAACCACCTAATAGTCACAAATATCATTAATTAAGTAACTGAAACTTGGAGTTCTTTACACCACAAGTCCAAGGTCACCCATCTGGTTGAAAAGGTGAATCAACTGGGATTCAAAACCCAACCAGCTATGTTGGACAGTACCCCACCATATTCATTGCACCCCACCTTCAGGATCTGAATGATAACATTCTCCCATCTGACTTCAAGATTTGAAAAGCTTTGCTTTACATGTGTACACATCCTATTCATTAAATACAGAACCTTATTTGTATTATTTTTTCAAATGGTTACTAAGGCTTTAAAGACATAAAAACTTATTGAGTGCTTTTAACCTAACTTCATAATAAACAGATAGCTACATATTTCTTTTAGCCTAGAAATGCTGTGGAAAAACTATTGAGATGTTAAGGGTTCCAGGAATAGAGAAATATTGCTAACCTCTGTCTCTGTATTATTAAGAAAAACATTTGGAACTTGAGGCTCCTTTACAGGGTCTCAGAACTCTCAGATGCACAGACTATACTTTGAGAACTGATGGATTAGCTCAATTCTGTTTCTCAAGTGTCAAAAGAAATTTCTAAAAGTTCTGTAAATGGCACGTCAAAAAGCAGGAATCCAATGATGTAGCTATTTATTTCTTATTGAAATGGTACTCACTTTTTAGTTTGTAACAGGAAAAAGCAATGTGGTTTTGCTTAGTTTTATGAAATGAATTAAATTTAAAGTGCATTTCTTTAGCTCCAGTTCAAAAGGTCAGTAGATTCTGTGAAGTGGGGAATTTCTCCAGCTTCTGGAGCTTTGTCCCCTTCCCCAGGAGGGATTTGGACTAGCACATTCCTTTCCATGCAGTTCCCTCTTCCCAAGACCAGCTCTGTGCACAACCAGCATAACCAATGAGGCAGAAGGCTGGGGATTATGCGTGGTCATATGAGACATATGAAACAAGGAATACTGACAACTGGGGGAAGGCACTTCATCATCCACTCTGAGAGCTGGATGGTCCCCTCACCCTTAGGCTGAACCTCCAAAGCCCACTGTGACTCAACACTATCCCATCACATTTGTCTTTGAAAACAGCCTGGGACTCTCTAGTTTGAACTGATCCTGCAGCCAAAGATCCAGGCCATTTGCAGAGATCTTGGCAATCGATGCCTCAGCTGTCAACAAGCAGAAACAGTGAGTTAACACGCACACATTCGGTGAGGTGAAGTTAGGGAAGTCCATTTTCCAAACCTTACATCAAGACATCTGACATTCTTAATGCACTTTAGACAGAATCTGGCTCTTTCAAGGATAAATTTCCCCAGAGAATTAAACAACTTTGTCTTGGACGACAATGATTAGAAATTCAGAAAGGAAGAGTGACAGAAGTTTACTTTTATATGATCTAAAAAAACACTTTGCAAAAAAAGAGTCATGTAGTAAAAAGGAAAAAAAAGGCACTGGACTCAGAATCAGAACACAGGGTCTGGAGCTGTTCTACCATCTGCTATCCTGTTACTGATGCTGCCTAATGCTACTGGACACTTTCATGAGCTATTATATCTTACTGATCTTGTTGTCTACCTTGTCTATATTTCCCAAGCTAACACCAAGCTCCTTATTCTTTTCTCACCTCCAGGATTTTTGCAAGATGGAAATGAAGAATTACATGAAGATAAAGGCACCTCCTCCCTTTTGTAAAAGCACAAACTAAAGAAAAGAGGGTAGTGACAAATTCTACAATAGATGCTTTCATGTTGCCTTATTTCCTCTGCCTGTCTTGACTTCTTCCCTAGAACTTCCCAACAATCCAATGTTAGGCACAGAGAGACATAGAGAAAGAGACATGTGAGAAAGACTTATGAACACAATGCAAACTCTGTTGGTGGAAATCTAATTTCTTCATCTAAAACAAAGAGATCAGTATATTCAGGAAATAATGACTATATGGCATTGAGATTGACCATTAAATTTAAGTTTCTTGAGCATCATGGAGTGTCAGAAGTTATTGTTATCATTCCCACAACTTCTTGACAGCCATGAAACTGTGGCTGGACACTGGAACACTGACCATGGAGAGCCACATCAATGGCCTCTTGAAAAACATGTTAGAGGGCCTCCCCGGTGGCGCAGCGGTTGAGCGCTGGGTTGCGAAGCTGCCCGCAGCCTCTGTGGCGCCGGTTCGATCCCCGGCTGCTCCCCGGCCACCGGAGGAGGGTCCCACATGGCGCGCAGACCTCTCCTGCCGCCCGCTGCTCCCCTCAGCAGTGTACTTCGGTCCTTCTGCCTGCTCTGCTCCCCGCTCTGGCTCTGGTGAATTCTCTCACCCTCCCGCGCTTCTGACTGTACCCAGTGCATGTATAAACAAAAAACAAACAAACAAACAAATAAATAAATAAAGCATGCCTCTATTAAAAAAAAAAAAAAAAAAAACATGTTAGAGCCAGACACTGGGACCCTGTTGCAGAAAACACTCTCGGCTCCATTACCATACTTGCCAGTAGAAATCAATCAAAGCAGCAAGAAGTTGAACTTGGCCTCAGCTCCATGCATCA